TTGTGATCTCAATGTGGTCCCATTCAATTGTGGTCTCGTGGTGGTTCCATTGTTGTCCCATTGTGATCTCAATGTGGTCCCATTCAATTGTGGTCTCATGGTGGTTCCATTGTGGTCCATTTGTGGTCTCGTTTGCCCCATTTTGCTCCAATTGCAGTCGAATTGTGCGGGTCTCATTGGTGCCTTTGGTTCAATTGTGGTACTATTGTGAACCATTTTTTGAGGTCCATTGCGGCGCGAATGGGGGCCTTGTTGTTGTCCCATCTTGGACTATTGTGCTCCTTTGTTTGTTTGTTTGTTTCGGTTTGTGTGTGTCCGTCTTTATCTGTATCTTTCTCTCTTCCTGTCCGTCTTTCCGTCTTTCCGTCTTTCTGTCTTTCCGTCTTTCCGTCTTTCCGTCTTTCCGTCTTTCCGTCTTTCCGTCTGGCGAAATGCCTGCCTGGCTGTATGGCCGACCGCCTGTCCGCCGGCCCACAACCCTCCTGTGCACCAGGATGCACATGTGCTGCCCACCATCCTTCTGACTGATTGTCTGCTTCCCTGCCTGGCTACCCTGATTGCCGCTCTCCTTGCCTGTGTGCCTTTGTTCCTCTGTTACGTTTTCTTTGTCCTTGCCCTTTTGTACTCTAAAATCCAGTTAAAACTTGAAAGGAAAAAAGGAAATCCAATTTTTATCCAATCAAATGCACACTGAGGCTTTCTTGAAGTTTCTCCCATTTGGCAGAGTTTTGTGAGGAATCTGAGTTTTATTATTTTACAAGTGGACCCGCCGCAGCCACGCTGCGGCGCAGAAGAGGGGGCGGAGGGAGGGATGGAAGTGTCATTTCTTTTGTGGTACACCGAAAGAAGAAGCATATGACAATAGTAGGAATTTGAAGGATATGAGAAAATCATGAATGTGATTTTTGAGTTGTAAAGACAAAATGAACTGCAAAATCAAGGACCAAAAAGGTCAACGCATTGAAACGAAAAAATGGAACCAAAATTTCAAATAATTTAAATGAAATCAATTGGAAGATTTTCAATCATCATCGTTGCACTTACATCCGGATATTTGGGTTTGTTCTCTCTCTCTCTCTCTCTCTCTCTCTCTCTCTCTCTCTCACACACACACACACACACACAC